TAATGTAAAACACTGTAATTATAGAATTTCCTCATTAATTATGCAAATTTGCATAATTTGTCCTCATTTGCATAATTTGCATTTCATCATGTACATCTCTCTCTCAGCTACCTACACACCAAAAATTATGAAAATATGTTGTTCCTATCTTGACTTATTGGCTTTTAAACATTTCGCCAGAAAGTGCCCTGCAGTTCCAGAACAAGCTGCTAGGGGGACCAAACTCACACCACTTATTCCTGACAGGAAAAGCAATCTGTCACCAAAACATCAAGACCATAGCATGTTCAGGACAAAAGATACAAAAACCGGAAGTTCTGCTGCAGTACCAAGGTCATCCACCAGGAGGCCCATATTTGACCTTGACGTTTGTCTTCCTAAGACTTACCAACATACCAAATATCATCATAATCCATAAAGGCATTTTGAAGTTATGCTGACCACAAAGTTGCTGAAACACAGACAGACAGACACACAGACACACAGACAGACATACATACCTACATACATACATACAGACAGACACGCCAAAAACAATACCTCCATTTTTCATGGAGGTAATAAATGCCCGACCGTACTGAGGTGACGGTGAGCTCACTACCCTAATTGTGTGTGTTTGTCTGTGAAATAGACGGGAAACATAGTTCTCTTCGGAGCTTGCGAAGAAGAGAATGAGCCTTCCTCCATCTACGTGTATTACTGGTCAATCCCTGATAGCAGCAGCTACAGGCATTGAGAGAGTTTATGAGCCTGACAGTTTAGTAGGAAAACATTTCCTAAAACTGTGGTCATGATGGAAACTTAAACGTTTGATCATAAATCCACAGTAGATACTGTATATACATGTATATTACACAATGTCGGAGCATAAATGGACTGCATTTACCTACGTAACATGTATGTCAGTAGTAGAGAGTGACATGATATGACATCTGATACGTACAAAATAGGGCACTGTTTCACAACTTTCACATGATTTTGTACAGAAATCATTTTGCGTTATTAAATTTTGATCTTCCCAATCTAGACAAAATTGTGTATTGGCTGGATATAACTTTGGACTAATGTCATAATTTTCAGAAATTCTACACAACTGAACATCAAGGATCTACATCAGCCTTTTCTATCATATTCATCATCATATTCATATTCGCCAAATTTTTGGCATCCACAATTGTCCTTAGAACATCTGCAATAAACCGCATACAACAAAATATGTGACAGTCCGGGCTTAATAGGAAAGTAGGATGAATGATAAATCATGTTATGACTAGATAAGCATCAACCTTTCTTCTGTCATCTTTGTAAATGATGAAGGGTTTTGCATGGAAGAGAAGATAATTTGTCAGACCATCCCCAAAAGTCATCCTGAAAGTATGGAGGTGTGGATTGTAATCACCCCTCTGCTGTGAGGCTAATGTAAATATGGTACGGCCCACTTCAAGTCTAGTGCAATCATTAGAGGGGGCCTGCATGGGGGGGTCCCGACAACGCTCTACGCTAAATTTTGGAAGCTGGCTACGTATTATGCTGAATTCAGGAAACCTCTCGATTACGCTTTACGCTAAATTCTAAGTGGCGACAATGCATTGCGTAAAATTAATACGCTCTACGAAAAATGTGCCAATTCCGCTCTACGTTGAATTAGAGCGGTCCGTCCATGCTCTACGTAGAATTAAAACGGCCGATTACGCTCTACGGAAAAGGGCTTGCGGGCCCCCATTAGACTCCATACCTGCCTGGGGCAGACACGCGTTTTCAAGATCCGTATCTAAAATCTCTTGGCTCGTATCTAAAATAGTCGACCATTAAACATCAAAATTGCTGGGGTAGAAAAAGACTATGAAAAGATCATTATGTTTCCCCAATGACTATTACCATTACCTTGTGTAACATCAAAGGCACGATGTTTGCGGGATGCTTTCTTTCTTTTTTTTAAATTCGAACCACTCTAGCCTGGCTCATTTTGGCATGTATGAGGACACAGTAATGTTTGGCTGGATTTCTACAGTTTGGCTGTGTGATAATTCAGATACATGTACATTACACAAAGCTGTTTTACACGATCAACTATTGGCAAAAGGCAAACTGTTTTTTTTAGTGTAGAATGTTTAATCAACCCTATATCATAGTCAGGAAAAATGTGATGTCATTGATTGAAAACAGTGGCTGTCGCAGCACGTCGGCAGAACGTACTGCACCTGCGCAGAACCCTGGATTTTCACGGTTTTCGTTGGATTTTTGGTCAACGTTGCATCAGAATTTTCCCTGTTGCAGACGATATCTTTTACGACACAACATTTGAAAACTACTGTCGGAATGCTAACCTTATATGAGCAAAATAATACAACCTTATATGAGACGTTCTGCCTTAGTGCTATGTACAATACATTACGGGTTTTGCGCAGGTGCAGTACGTTCTGCCAACGTGCTGGCTGTCGCATGTTTGCTACTGTAGGCTGGTTCTAACTATTTATTGGTGGTACCAAAAGTAAAGGGACTCCTCACGTAGCTTGTTTTGGGGCTATTTCATACGCTTCAAGTATGAAATGATGATAGAAATGTGCCAGGAAAAGGCAGTAAATGTCAATATCTGACAGATTACCTCATCCAGAATATTTTTTGTATTGACGCCAAGAAATTGTATTGGATGCCTTGAAGTTTTTCTTTAATTTAGCGCCCTAGACTACAGAAAGTATATTTGGTATTGCCAGATTTTCTTTGAAGACAGGAAAGCCCTGTCTGTGCTTCTCATGTAGTCCTAATCTTTCCTGATCTAGGCCACAGCAAGTAATTTTCATGGATGACATCCGCGCGCGCATTGATTTTCGCCTGATTTTGGAAAAAAAACAAGAAATTTTGTTGCCCTTTGACAGTGGTCAACATTCCGAAAATGGGCAAACTGACATGCCTTGCCATGCTGGAAGGTATATGGCAGATACTGTAAGTCTACAAATTTCCGCGGTATATTTAGATTCGCGGAATTCGCGGGGAACTTTCTACCGCGAATCTATTTCCCCGCGAATATGTTTTGCGTAAGTGCGCCCCCCCTCCCCACATGCATTCACAACGGTAAGCGAAACACAAACACACGCAACAAACACAAATCACTGCAAATCAACTTTATTCTTAGCAAATGTACGTATGTTGAGTACCAAAAATTTTTTAAGCTATACTGATGTCAAAAAATTATAATATTATGAGACACCGAATCGCGATACTGAGGCACTGGCCGTGTCAAACGTGCACCGCCGGACAAAAATCTCTGTGTGCAGAGCGCCGGCCATGCGCGCCCGGGCGCTTGAAAATTGCGGGCACATCGGGCATATCTACAAATATTTTGATTAAAAATATAACTGCTGGTACCTGGGAAATGTTAGTTGATTCTCTTTTGCGCCCTGCTTTGCGGGTCGTTTTTTTTTTTTTGCTGGATAGAAACGCTACCGTGGGCCGCTACAAAACCGAAGGCGACCTTTGCATACTTCCGGGTTCAAAATCTCGCCGAAGACGGCATAAATATTTTTAGTAATATATATTTTCCCGAAAGATTCTTTCGATTATGCATTTCTTCACTAGAGTATCAATGTGTAGTTGTGGAAAATAGCGTTTTAGCGCTTATTTCCGAACAAAGAAAATTGTTTACACGTGCGTCAGATCGATCGTCATCTATACCACCGGCAGTCTCGCGCGGTGCACGAAACAAATTTTTGCGCCGCGTTTTAGGATATAAATGCCGGAACACGAACTTTTATTATTTTATATACACTTTACAAATTTTTCTTTGAAAAATAGCCAAGGAGAAATCGCGAATCTAAAAATACCGCGGATGGTCCATTTTCCCGAAACCGCGAACTTTAGGCCCCGCGAATCTAAAGAGACTTACAGTAACCATGAAGAGAGGAGACAAGACAAGGCTCTGATTTATTGTTTTGACTTTTACTTTGATGCGGTGATGTATTTTATTCCTTTTATACGTTCCCATGGAATCAAAACCATTTGTACAATGATTGAAAACTTTCCCTTTTCAAAGTTGTTTCAGTGACAAATGGATGTTGTGACAGGTGGCAGTAAAGTTAGCACTATATAGCTATCGTTTCTTGTTTAACAGGGTTCATGATGTCAAAATTTCAAAATATAGGAATCTTGTTTTTTTGGGCCCACCTTGTTTTTTTTTTTGCCCTCTCACATTAGATTTGGAGTCTGCGGAGGATGTCATCCATAAAATTTACTTACTGTGGCCCTACACAGAGTTACTAGTATACACGGCAGTGCACAGAGCCCTGTCGTTAAAGTTAACTACAGGAGAAACGATGACTAACGGTGATAGTGACGGTGCGCAAAGTGCATTTTTAGCTCAGGGCCATTCAATGTCCTGAAGATCCTACGATAGAGAAACAAGAGTTCCATGACAATATCAAGCAATAACAACCGCTTTTTCTCAGTCCCGATGTTTTCCCCATGGAGATGAGCATTAATACGACCGTGACAAGGACATGGCCCAATCTCTGCCTATGATGACCGCATTATTTTGAAGTATGTAGAAGAAAACATTTTTTTTTATAACTAGTTTTTAGGCCACACCAATTTCATTTGTTGGTTCTCGGATTATTTTTTTTTTAAATATGAAGCGCCAAGGCAAAAAAAAAGAAAAAGAAAAACATACCGCGGCACCCTACATTTGTATAATAGCCCCAAATGCTATGATAGGAGTCATAAAGTCAACATACCAGGCTGGTTTATAATTAAAGCAATGAATTTCAAACTTTTAATAAAGCCACTGCATTGATAGATGGAAAAACTGTAACAACTGTAAAGAGAAGGGACTTCCTTTAAGTGTGGGGGCCAAAATATGAGCATTTGGAGTTGACTGTATTTTGCAAATCGGAAAAAAAATTAAGCGGGCGAATCCGTGAACCAACAAATTAAATTGGTGTGGCCTTTTACATAGGTTGACTGTAGTTACATTCATGTGTCTGATCACAACGTCTTTTTTCTTGCAGTGCTTTTGCCAGGTATCCCAACGGGGTGATCGTGCACTACTTCTGCTGTAAAGACAGAAACGTCTGCCCTGTAGACAGCTAGCGCCGACACTGGCATGGAGGAAAAGTATGACTTGACATGTTCAAATACATTCAAGGAATCATTTATGAACAGTGTACAAAGTAAGGTTGAAGTTTATGATATCATTCGCAAGCTTAGACTCATTTTCATGCAATGTATATAAAAATTTAATGTTAACCGCTTATAAGAACTTGTATTCTTAGAATGTTGGACCTTTAATTGCATTCTAAGGATGAACATGCTTACCAATATTTTAGAGATTGCTGCAGACCAAACTAAGGCCGAAAAAAGTTAGTTGTGTGCAAAATTTGTCATATTTGTCATTAGTTGCCAGTATACATGTGAAATGTGTAAGGCAAGACACGTCTACTTCTTTAAGTGCCAAGATATATGTAACACTACCACTGTGACTAAATTTATGACAGCATATTCAGTTGTTTTTTTTTCACTTTTGGGTATGGAAGTATTGTTTTAGGTGGCTGATCTGTAAGTCTGTGTATCTGTTTGTCTGGACAAAGTACATGTAGGTTAACAGCATACATGTCCAGGAATTTTGTCAGGTAGAATGACAGGTGATTTAGAAGTCAGACACAGGAAATGGGGTGAACTTGGAGGTCCCCCCCCCCCCCGAATCTGGAAGTAGAGGGGACATGGGGGAATTTAGGATCCCAAGGATTGCACACTCCCTGGAAGTCTGAAATCTAAATTTCTTGTTGAAACTGATAATTATTGTAATTAGTACCCACTTTACCAGTAGCTCATGAAATGATTGTGTAGGCTTACTATAATGCTTTTCTTTGATTATAGATAGTTTTTTTGATTATAAATGACTATAAATGATAAATGTGCAGTCATGGTTTATCATCATACTAGCAAATACATTTCTTATTGGTTGCAGACAATCACGTAATTTACAATCTGGAAGATAACAGATAGGGTTCAGTTGGCAAATTTGGAATATCAGTTTACGATGATGTTTCACATTCAATTATCCCTTACGATGCAAATGCTTGTGAAATGTCTGGATATGTTGCATTATGATAATTATTCATAAATTGATATTATGAAGAAGGACAATGAATGTACAATAAATGTATTCTATTTGCAGTGCATTCAAGAGCCTTGTTTTTCATGCTTACTAGTTTATTTCTTGACGGTACATGTATATTGTATGTAACATTCATTTGGTACATATAATATGATTTTAAAACGAAGCGGCTTTTTTTCAGTTACCCACAAGTGCTCTATGATGGATCTTGACTTAGCTGATCAAATTTGAAAAAATGATATGTACATTTGGTGTTTCATTCCCACATTCCCAATACTTCCAGGCATACATGTAGAATTCCATATGCATGCCTGTCTCAGTTTTAATATTCCACGGGGAGTAAAAGTCACACATGTGACAATTGATGTATCGTCTTACACCGTGCCGTTTAGGAACCACATTTTTCTTTGGGGGGTTTGTGAGGGGTATTTGTGGTATGTGTACATAAATGTACCATTCCAGTTGCCTTTTTTGTTGGTGTGGAATTTGGGAGAGATAGTGACATGTCACAGCAGCTGGAGGGTAAACACTGCGCTCTCAGACTGAGCCTATCCCAAACAGTGCATTCTTTCCTGCTGACTACTGACTACGGACCCAGGCTCTCGCTAGCGTCTGTCCCAACATCCCACTGGATGGAGACAGATTTCAACCATCCGTGATGGACAAAATACAACAATCATGGCAACATCATCAATAGTGCCAAACTGTAAGGCCACACCAATTTAATTTGTTGGTTCTCAGATTTTTTCAGAAAAAATATGAAGCTACAGGGCAAAAAAAATAAAACTAAAAACAGGTCTAGGTATCCTATTATAGCCCCAAATGCTACGATAGGAGCCATGGTGTCAACAAAAAAGGCTGGGTTGATATTTAACAGTGAACTTTGAACTTTTAATCAAGCCACTGCATTGATAAATGGAAAAACTATCATAATGACAACTAGGAAGATGAGGACTCAACTGTTGGGGGCAAAATATGAGCATATTTGAGTTGATTCAGAACCAGATACTTTTTTTTTTTTTTTTGCGAATCAGGAAAAAAAAGAGGCGAATCCGAGAACTTACAAATTAAATTGATGTGGCCTAAGATTAAAATGAAACCACGTAAATAATTTGTCCTTAACGCAGAAACTAGCATTTCGGAGGATGAAAAAGAAGTTCAAATTTTTGTGGGGGAACATATACCCCTGTGTGAAAGTAGGATTTAAGCACCGCCACTTGGCTAGACCTCTTGGCCTAGCAGTTAGTGCGTTTAAGTACATTTTGGTCATCATTACTTGAAGCATCAAATATATAAATGAAATAACCTACATGAGGCATCTCTTTATTTTTGGGTACTTCCTAATAGTATAACTTATAAATACATAGAACCAGCATTCCATACAAAAACAGGAACTGTTTTCCATCAGCAACATTATATTTCACCTCACAGATATCAGTATGCTATGGGATAGGATTGATTCAACCTGCTACATTAAAAATTGACTTTGAAAACCCAGTTTTGCCACCCTGAAATTGCATTTGGATGCCTTAAGGAATACATTTTCTAACTGATTATAATGTCACCATATTGCATCAATTTTCTAAAGCACAGATTCTGAATAACAACCATTTTGCTTTCATTGTCCTAGATGATCCTAGAATTTTTTCTGCAAATTGCATCTGATTTAATCTTCACTGGAATAACTGTTGATAGATTGACTCCGCAGCAAAGATGAGTCTAAAGGGAAGTATGTTCCAGGAAATTCCTTCAACAGGAGCCCGTCTCATCTGACTTACCATGATGGGAGATAGCTGAGGCCTGCAGGTGTCCCACAGGAAGCAGCTGCAGCTGCTGATAAACGGCTGCTCCACCTGCCTGTCCCATGTGGGTAAGGCGATCATCCTTTCTACAATTGTACTGTCTGTGCCAAGGAAAGTTGCCAAGAGGATCACTAGTAATCATACTGATACATGGAGATCAGTTACACTTGGAGAAAAATAATGATGGCTATGGCCACACCAATTTAATTTCTTGGTTAACGGATTCGCCCGCTTCATTTTTTTTCTGATTTGCAAATAAAAATAAAAATTCAGAATCAACTGCAAAATGCTCACATTTTGCCCTGAACAGTTGAAAACAGGCATTTTTATCCTAGTTGTTACAGTTATGACATCTTTCAATGCAATGGTATCATTAAAAGTTCAAAAGTCAATGTTTAAATTTTGAACCAGCCTGGTGTGTTGACTTCATGGCTCCTATCGTACCATTTTGGACCATAATACATGTAGGATGCTTAGGCCTGTTTTTATTTTTTTTTCGCCCGCACGCTCCATTATTTTTCTAGAAAAATCCATTAACCAAGAAATTAAATTGGTGTGGCCTATGTTACTGTAATGGTCTTTCAAATGGCCCTTTTATAGCCTAAGGATTTTTGCACTAAAGCTGTACATGTACATTCTGTCTTGTATTGAGATTTTAACAACTTCTTGAAATTTTTTATCACATTGCGAGTTATCTCTGGCCAAAAGACAACCAACACATCATATTCAAGACCATAACAAAGCTGATTTGTGAACTGTTACAGATGATGTTGCATCTGTACCTAATTTTGTGGAGATACAAAATTTAACATACTATTGAAGTAATAACTGTTATATGGAATTTTTACTCATCACATACATGTACATTTCTCTGTGACTAATCTTCCATAATTTGTTGTATTTACGGGTGCTTTTGAATTTCGCATTGAAGACTTGTTGATGAATCCTTGCTCCAGGCTGTGATGCTTCAGATACTGTTGTCAGCCTTAAGGGTACTTAAGAGGTATATCACACCAGGGTACTTAAGAGTCGGTCAATTGTGTGTACCTTTGTTCATAATCATCCACTTGAGGGGATGGCAAACAAATCATCTTTCATTCCACCCCACTCAGAACACTCGGGTATGTAACATCTGTCAACAACAGCGTCAGTAAACAAACACCTTCCTCTGGGAGAGATTCTCAGTTAAATATTCACTACTCGGAATGGAATTCACAAGTTTTATTGCTTTTCTAAAATATTGGTAAATCATGATTTGTATTTGTGTTTATTCTTGGCATATCAATTATGAATATATGTGACATAACAGTATAATGAACCAAAACAACATTGGGACCTGCTAATTAGTATTAGTAGAAAACACAATTACTTGTTGCCACTAACATGTATAAATGTTAGAGGTAATGTTGTTATACCAGTAATGTTAATTCCCTGGAGATTTATGATGCATCCCCCACCAGATGTTCAGAAATTAAATCAAAATTCTATGGACAGTTCCATTTGAAAGTTGGGGAAGGGTAAGATTATCCTAATGTACATGTAACTTTGTTATATATTGGTAAAAAAGCTTAACTGTGGATGGCAATACTTAAGCTTGCTGAAAGGTTATATAGCAAATTTTTGGCAACTTTCAGAGCATACAATAAATTGATTTCAAACCCACAGAACTTTGCATTTCGAATGGCACCACACTTTTTAACCTTCTTCCTTTTGGCACTAAAGATTTGGCAATACGGTTAGGCAGCATACAGGAGGTTAAAGAGGAAGGGGAATTCTACTAGTCCCCCAAAAGGTCTGGAATCTTCCTAAATACGGACCATCATTTAAGAATTATGAAGATGTCAATTGTGAACAGTCAGATGCACCAGCAGTCAGCTTAATTAAGTGTTGACTCTAGTTACATGTTTATGCATGCAATACTCCACAATGATGTTACATCCTGCAATGTTCAATTAAAATTTGGCAGCAAGTCTAAAGAATTTTTATTGCTGACGATAACATGCTAGTTTGCTGGGATAACATGCTAGTAAGCGGCAATCTTGTTTGTGAATCATATTTTTATATTACAAAGGCTCTGATGTACAGTTTTTTCTTTCATAAAACACTATAATAATAATTACATAGTTTGCCTATAAGAGGTTTATTATTGATATTTGATTTAATTGCATTCCCTCCTGTACCATTAATTTAACTCTAAAATTAGGAAATCAACAGCATTTTAGATATCATAAATTTAATATTTCAAAAGATTGTTTCATTAGAAAAACAAGATGATGCATTCGATGATGACAGTGGACAGTTTATTTCAAATACAGGATCAAGATGTGTGCAAGAAAAAGAAATTTACAAAAAGGGTGCTAGGACATAATTTTTTTTCTTTAATACAGACCCCCAAAGTTGACATGGTACAGCCCTGTGGTGATGAGATGAGATGTTCTGTAGTGTGTTCCAGATGGCCTCTGTCTAGAGGAGGTGTTCTTTGACTTCTGTCAACATCTTGTCAATCCTCTCTAAGAGTTTGACCCAATGCAAGGCTCCACTAGGACTTAAGCAGATTTAGAGCATCTTGCAGTAAAGCCTAAAATGCCTTATTAACCTAAAACATAAAGCCCTTGGATAGCACTGTTCTTTTTTTACCCATTGGTTCCAAGTTGCACACTCTGGATTACATGCAGGTAAACGTTTACA